CCTCTGGGGCAGTTCTGCTCCGTGCTCTAGGGGCGCTGTGAGTCAGAATGGACTCCAAGGCAGTGGATTTATCAGTCAGTAAAAGCAGGGTAGGGAATTAGTTTGAAATGTTTCATTTCCTGAGGCACCGCAGTAATCAGAAAGGCTTTTAAGTATTAAAAAATTAGCTCTTTAATGGAAAATAATCATCATTGTGAGGCACCGTTTCTATTAAAATGACCCCAAAGTGCATATAAACTACATATATTTTATAATAGAAGCACAAATGAACATGAATTCATTTAAAAACTAAAATAAACCCCATTCTCTATGCTAGTGCTCACTCACTGTAAGGTACATTTTTGTTTGCAATTATTATTTTTTAAAAGCCACTTATATTTAATAACCTTCCCGATAAACAGAAAAATAAGTCAGCAGCCCCAAATTTCAATCAAAAAGAAAAGATGACACCTAGTCCCAGAACATTGCTGGGACCGTTTTCCTTCTTCCTATCAGATGGTCCAGTGTTTTCCAAAGGTCCCTTTCATCCAAAGTTGATTTGGAGGAAATTAGGAAAGAAATAATACTTGTGGTGGTGATTGTATATGGCAAACATTGCAACTGTGGAGCCTGAACGACTAAATTGTGGGACCCTGATCCTGAGCTACCTTCTGGCCACTGGTACCGACCTTTGTCATCACTTTGGGCCTTGCTCTTCTCCCATCTGTGGGTCTTCACAATCTAGGCTATTCGCTCCCCGAGATGGCCTCTTCACCACAGGCTCTGATGCAGTTTCTAGTTCTCTCCCATACCCAGTCCTGGTCTGCCCTGGCTCATCCCTCATGCAGCCCTTGTTGCCAGACTAAGTCTCTGACCTCTTCTTACTTCTAACACAGGGAAGACAGACCCCACTGTAATGTTTCGTGAGCTTACTAAACCTAATTGGAAAAGGTTCTTGACTTCAGAGAGATATTGTGGTTGACAGAACTGAGTGAAGGAAGACCATTGATTCTGCCTGCCCTAAGCTCAAAATATTCACTGCCATTGAGTCGATTCTGACTCATAGTGGCCCCTGTTGGGTTTCCAAAATGGTAAATCTTTATGGAAGTAGCTTGCCCAGTCTTCCTTCTGCAGAGTGGTTGGTGGGTTTGAACCACCTACCTTCTGGTTAGCAGTCAGGTGCCTTAGGCACTGCTAGCATAGTGCCTAAGGCACTTGACTGCTAACCAGAAGGCTGGCGGTTCAAACCCACCAGCCACTCCTTGGAAGGAAGGTTGGCAATCCTACTTCCGTAATGATACTGCCTTGGAAACCCAAGGAGGGGTCGCTATGAGTCGGGGCCAACTCGAC